AGATAGATAGATAGATAGATAGATAGATAGATAGATAGATAGATAGACAGATGATAGATAGATAGGGAGGGAGGGAGGGAGGGAGGGAGGGAGGTAGATGATAGGCAGGCAGGCAGACAGATTCCGTGAGAAAGTGCCAAGCTGTCTCGCCCGCTCTTCCTTTTGGTAAGAGCTAAATGCAAACCAACTTCCCATAAGACTGCTGTGCCCACACATCCGTTGGCACACCAACGTGGGAGGGGGGGGGGAATTGAAACAGTTAACGCAGTCGGGGTTTTGGGGTTTTGGACCATTTCCAGAGACTTGCCAGCTCAATTCTAGCAAGCTTCAGCTTGTTTCAAGAATTGCTGGCCTGACACTCGCGACAGCAACCACAGCAAAAGGAAGGGGGGGAGGGGAGGAAAACACACGTCATCTGAGGCGCGGGAGGGGGAGAAATGAAGACATTAACCCACGGCGTGGTTACCTCCAACTCTTCCATGGTAACGATGCCGTTACGGTCGGCGTCAATGACGTCTTCGAACTCTTTCTTTCGGTCTTTCACCCAGTCGTCGTCCACATCCTGGGCTTGCTGATTTTCAACCGTGCCAACCGGCAAGGAGATGAATTCCGAAAGGGTCAGCTTCTTATCGCCATCCTGATCTGGGGTGGGGGGGGTGGGTGGGGGGGAGATGGGATGTTTGACAGACAGATGAATCAATCAATCAATCAAAATCAACCAAGCCCTCAAAATAAAACAACCAATCAAAGTGGCTCAGTGGCTAAGACGCTGAGCTCGTCGATCAGAAAGGTCGGCGGTTCGAATCCCTAGTGCCACGTAATGGAGTAAGCTCCCCAAGACGCTGTTCCCTTCCCACCAAAGGTGGTTCCTATTGTTCTACTTGCATTTTTTACATGCATTTGAACTGCTAGGTTGGCCGAAGCTGGGACAAGTCACGGGAGCTCCCTCCGTTAGGGATTCAAACCGCCAAATATATGAATTCCAATAAAATACAACAGTAATCAATATTAAGGTTTCAAAACTGTAGAGAAGCAAGCTTGTCTCCCATTCTGAGGTCTAATCTTTTTTTTTTTACTCCCGGCACGAATCTCAGGTTTTGATTGCAAGTCTTCACCATCAAATGTAAGTTCACAGCGCCTCCACCTGGCCACCCAAATCCCAGCAATTCAGAGCTGGGCTGAGAAGTATCAGTGTCAGGCCTGCAACCATATTCCTTTTGGATCTTTGGCCTGCCACGCTTTCTATTATTCTACTACGCATTTTCTATTGTGGGTTAATGAGAGGGGGAAATGTACGGAGTTAGATGGTATGTAGCCATAACAACATTCTTTCTAGAAAGCCAAGGTCATCTTTTGTCTCTGCACCTTGACACCTGACCGGAACTGGATGGGTGGCACTGCCAGCATGGCAACGGAAGATTGGACCATGTGATAGACTTGTGGATGTGAAGGCAAGATCATGAACTTGGAACTGGGTGGGGAAAACCCGAATCTGAAGCTTCCCAGTTTTCTTCAGATTCGGGTTTTCCCAGATGTGCCAACATGGCTCTCTTAATCAATTGGAACTTTGAGCAATACTTTGCCTCGGACTCTGATTTAATTTTGGATGCTATTTGGAACCCTGACAATCAGGCCAGCTCAGTCATACAACTCCCTGGTGGGAAGATCTGAACTCAAAAGTNGAGGACCTAGATTGTTGGGGGCAAGAGGCTGACTCTGTAAACCGCTTAGAGAGAGCTGTAAAAGCACTATGAAGCAGTATATAAGTCTAAGTGCTATTGCGATGCTCGGCAAGTGGGCCCAGGATCTTTTGCGAACTAAACACACTCTTGACAATCGTGTCAATCTTTTTAAACAAGCACAAAAGGAGTTTTTGAAAACCAAGAGGAAAAGGGAGAGGGGCAGGGATACAATAGCAACACAATAAGTTTTTGGGCAGCAGCCCGTGCAATTCTCGCTTGCATTCACAACGGGATGGAATCAAGATCACATGACGTTGTAGTAGCGCTTAAAAAAACCTTAGTCAGACCACATCTGGAATACTGCATCCCGTTCTGGTCGCCACAATATAAAAAAAGACGTTGAGATCTCTGGAAAGGGAAGAGCAGAGAAAAGCAGCCAGGATGTTCAGGAGACTCGAACTGGGTATGTCTAGTTTAATTAAACAAAGGATATGATAGTAGTCTTCTAGTTTGCCTGGACGAAGTATCCCAAATGGCCACCGGAGGGCACTGTTTTCATACCCTAGGATGGTCTTTTTACTCCCTGCCATGCTGAAACACCCCAAATGGCCACTGGAGGGCACTGTTTTTATGTCCTGTGCTACAGAGGGTTTTAATCCCTGCCTGGCTGAAATATCCCGAATGGCCACTGGAGGGCACTGTTTTCATACCCTAGGATGGTCTTTTTACTCCCTGCCATGCTGAAACACCGCATATGACCACCGGATGGCACTGTTTTCATGCCTTGTGCTACAGATGGTTTTAGTCCTTGCCTGGCTGAAATATCCCGAATGGCCACCAGAGGGCACTTTTTTCATGCCTTGTGCTACAGACAGGTGTCAAACTCGATTGTGTCATGTGATACATCGCGATGTGGTTTTTTGCCTTTGCAAAGGTGGGGTGGGCAGGGCTTACACATGACGCCTTCAGTCCACGGGCTGGTCAGTTTGACATACACACCCTCCCCTGTGTATAGATAGCCTTTATTACCCCTTGGAGGCTGCAGTATCCAAGATCGCCAGGAGATGGCAGGTTTTTCCCGAGATTCGCTCCTGCTTGCTCTACAGGCCCCACCTCAATTATGAATATTTAGCTATGGCTCTAACTTACCCCTCCCGCCCTTCAAGTTACGGCCATCATACTTTTCCCACCTTCATATTTTGCATGCTTGGCAACTGGCTTGCACTTATGAGTCGCAGCCTCCAGAGGTAGTATTCAGCCATCAGTTTTCTCCGGTTCGGGAGAACTGGTAGTGGTGTCTGCAGGACACTCCGCCCACCCACCCGACATAAGAGCCGAGGTGGCGCAGTGGGTAGAGTGCAGTACTGCAGGCTACTTCAGCTGACTGTTATCTGCAGTTCGGCGGTTCAAATCTCACCAGGCTCAAGGTTCACTCAGCCTTCCATCCTTCCGAGCCAAGGTGGCGCAGTGGGTAGAGTGCAGTACTGCAGGCTACTTCAGCTGACTGTTATCTGCAGTTCGGCGGTTCAAATCTCACCAGGCTCAAGGTTCACTCAGCCTTCCATCCTTCCGA